CCACGACCCTGGTAATCTATCTGGAAGATCTGGACTACGTTTTCTGTCAGTAACTGAAGCGATAGTAATCAATACCAGATGACCGGCTCTTTGTATACAGAAGAAGCATGTTCAGCCACTATAATTACCTCGGTCTATAATGAGGCTAACAATTCCTACATAAACACTAAACACTTTAAATTCCTATCACAACTTTTTTATCTTCTTCTCTTCCTTTTTTTTCATTGACAAACGTTCATTTCTGACCTTTTACGTCTCCATGACCTTTCTTATGATTTCTATTACTATAGGTTTAAGTAGTGCTTTTCTAACTTGTTATCATATTCACTAAATTATTATTGTCTGATAAGCATTCACCAATAGTACTTTTAAGTTTACGCCACATCATTGTTATTATTATTATTGTCGTCATTTTCATACTTGAACTTATGTCTAGTCCACCCGATTCATTGGTTTATTTTCTGTCGTATTCATATTGCCACACACAACAGTAATTAGCGTCACTCTGGTAATCTGTACTTTTGTTGACTATATTTATATATATAAACACACACGCATATCATTAAATTATTTCATCTCATATTCTCATTGACCGTGCATATTCAAAACTAACCGACTATTGTTCCACCCCATCTATCTTACTTATACTTGGCAGCTATTGTATGGCATAAAGTAATGGATTTATGCTTTATTGTAGAGCCTGAAGAACAAGAAGAAGGAGAATTTATTTTGTGAAACTACAATTGTTCACTCTAACTATTTTTATCCTGAATAAATTATGGTTATAGTCACTATGCCGATACTTTTTACTTCAACAACTATACCCGTACAAGGAGTTTCCTTCTATTTTGCTGTGGTGAACTTACTTTCGAAAGTTTAATATGTGCCCGCGAATAACTTTGCTTGGGACATAGGGTGTGTGATCACTTCTCAGTATATTCCTAGTTTATGTCCACTTCCTTCTCTACATCTTTACCAATGAATCCAACAACGGTATTTCGCCCAGTAGAGTTCTTTTTTGTTAATGTTTTCTGTCCGACTGATCTTTCAGCAAACAGTGACGACAATCGTCGTTGATAAAAGTCTGAAGCATGCTCGTAGATGCTTTCCGTGACACGCCAATATTTCTGGACCATGGAGAAGAACCGATTTGACATAAGTGTTGAAAATCTGATTTTTTTCGCTCTCTCTTCTTCCTACTGAGTGTAACAGATCTTCGTAGTGATTTAAGATGAGTATCCAACTTCTATCCTGACTTTGACATTCTTATATGTCAATGCTGTCTAGATAACTGTCCCATTGATGGCGATTGCCGTTGGTTTGGGTTTCCTCCTCACCTCTGTCTTCTCCATATTCACCTGAAGATCTATCTTCGCCTCTTCTGCAAACTTGTTGGCTTTCCCCCCGAAGGTTTTTGAGTTTATGTGACACTGAACATAAATCTCCTGCGAAGTCTAAATCTTTTCGAGTCTTCTTGCCGGTCAAACGTATGTCTGTCTTCTCGCTTCCATCATTTTTGTCGCATGATCCAGCCATCCACAACAATCACGAATATCATCAGAGATAGTAGTAGGCGGCCTTATCTCACATCTATCTTCATCACATCAAAGTCTTCGCTGACATGTACCATCATCACATAACTGTTGAATGAAGTTTATGAAGATCTGATCAGCACATGACTTGCTTTTTGCTGAATCCAGATTGTTGACGGTGGAGTTTTGTATTTCGCAGCATCTTTTAGTCTCTTCAGCAGGATGAGTATATCTCGTTATCTATTAGCTGTAAAATAGGTTATATAATTACTGGACTTCTGAACTAGAAATATATGTTGCTGAACAGCTTTGTCTAATAATACAATGATTCTATTTTTCAAAAGCTGAGTATACATAAAAGGTGTTCCCTATGGGACGTGTGTAGTGCGCAGAGTAATACAATGAAATAAGAACCTGTTTTTAATCGACAGTAAGTATTTGAGATAGTACTAGAGATCAGTCCTATAGTAAGTATCACCAGGACGTCAAACAAACTTGCCCGTCGGGTTAACCAACCGCGATGATGATCAGTGCGGCCTAGTTCTGAGCGTGAAGTGAGTATGTGGCTGTCGGTATAACTGGCTGCTTATGGCGTCAGAAAGTACGGACTCGGCCGCCTCCTATTTCGTGTGTCGGTGGCACAGCGGTAGAATGCTCCTCAACCACGCCTCATTTGGTTCGGGGTTCGATCCCCGGGCGCCGACGCACTTCCAAAACCTTGGTAAGTCAGGATTAAGACTGGTAAAGAGGGAAGGTTGGTGGTCATGAGGCTAGCAACCCCATCCCGTAGAAATAAACACCCCTGCTACCGAAACTTCAAGCCTCCAGCTTGAAGCCCTATGTTCCACTGGGAACGTAAAGGAATAAAAATAAATATATAGGTAAATAAGCTTGTGAGCTGTTAAAAATTATGGTGGGAAGCTTAAACCTAACTTCTATAACTTCGTGCAAATCACTAATAAGCCAAATAACTTAAACCGAATGTTTGAGTCACAATGAATGCATGATACAAGGACTTAAAAAACAGCCTAAAATTTATATGAACTAGATTCTTTTCCCAGAATTGGAACAGACTAATTACAATGTCATAAGCATTACAAGCACATATTAAACAAAATTATATCAGTGAGGAGTTATTACATTATGCAATAAAACGATTGATTTCTAAAATATAGGTCAGAATGTTTTAAATGTAACTTATGTCAAATATGCATTTAGCAATCGGAAAACTGAATAAAAAATCTTTTAATAGAATGAAAAAATTGGAAAACTTCGACCTTCCCCTAAAAATACTGTCATATGATCACATTTTCATACCCACTGACAGATAAGTTCAATTTACTGACCTTGAGCGGCCGTAAGGTATTCTTACAAAAGTCAATGGATGAACGCTAACGCCCTTCACCCATTAGCAGATTGCTGGACATTATGGAAGTTGAGAAACTCTGATTTTAAAGGTATTGTGCATTTACGTGGGCCGGGCTCCAGAGCAAATGGTGTATAAACCTGTTTTAGCCACTGGAAACTATGAGAATGCATCGCTTGACGTTGCTCTGCTATTTTTGTAGACCAGACTTTGAAGAAGACCGTCCACGACACATGGAAAGTGAGGCTAATAGAGCTTTAGATGAAAAACTCACTAGATAAAACCTGAATTTTTCAAATCCCTTACAACTTCCAAATAACTGTCGGCCTATTCCAGTGGAAAAATAGTATAATGATTTGAGTAGTGCTTTCACGCACAAAATCGATGTACCAATGTAAGAATTGAGAAGCCTGCAGTATGTGAAATGAGAGTAGCAACTGAATCTGGCAAATAGTAAGAGGCTGTTTCTTCCAATCCAAGTCGCTTTTTGTACAGGGCGTAAGAAACTGATTCGTGAAAAGTAGACTGATTGTGGATGCATCGATCACGTGTTCACTGTTCATCAGTTGTGAGGACACAATCACACGTATTACAGGTCAACAATCATTGTATCTATTCATACTAAAGCTATTGGTGACTCGTTGGACAGAACGTTTCATTGGATTTTCTGTTAAAGAAAAGTGGCCCAGTGAAGTTTATGAATATCCATAAAGTCCAATACAAAAACAGAGCTGCTAAATTTCGTTATTTTTTTTATCACCTTGCCATCGACAGCCTTCTGAAAGCAGTTCTGAAATTATTTTTTATTTTGATTACAGCTTGGTTCCACACCGTATTTTCGGTACAAGTATGGAGTTTTCAGCATGTGATATCGGTAGCCCAAATTTTGCAGGCCGACCATAGATATCGGGTGTGCGTCGGCAGGGGATTGAACCCCGGCCCATCTGCATGGTCGGCGAGAGTCCTAACCTCTGTGCCACCGACGCACATGGAGGCGGCTTAAATCTGCAAACTAAAGTCGGCTGCTTGATCTTGAGCATGTGGACGATACTGTATTACGGTGCAATAACACACTGGTTACCTAAATGGAACCTAATCAGCTGGTATTTACCTCGCACTTGAACAGAGCCAAGTACTGTAGTAATGGCTGCAGTCTGTACTGGTAATTATCCTTGCATATGAATAGTTGGAAGTAGGAGGAAAGGGTAGTTAATTGTGAATACTGATGGAAAGTGGCAAATAAAGGTTCAACCGTATAGTTATAGTCACAGTGGTAATAAGCCAGCCTCTGGCATCACTGTGACGTTAGTCTGACCGTCAGAAGTTTGGGTCAAGTGTGTCTATGAAACCCAGCTTTTTTGAATTGAACATTAGCGATTATTCCACTTGTCCGATCACTGCTATCCCTCTAGAAATGCTTTCATTCTGTTTGTTATTTACTAGTCGCGGGACTGAACAGAGACCGCAAATAGGTAACCAGCCCACGATATGGCAGCGTACTTGAGTTAGCTTGCCATCTGTTGGCTTATCATAACACTATGATGGCGTCAAAGGGATTATGTGACAGAGTCGATTCTGATATCATCAAAAATGATTCAGAGATTAAGCTAATGGCGAACATAGTGCAATTTTCTCTCTTCTTCAATAAAAAGTAATGGACGCTCCCCCCTGAATGCTCTTGATAAGTGCCTCTACCTGTTTTCACTGAAAATTTTACTTCTAATATTCTTGGTGGCGCACCCCTTGTCCCCCATATTTAACCAAGCTTGTATTGCCAATAAAAATAACACAAATGGATGGAATACAACACCTGGCGGCTTTTGCTGGCTAACTTTATAAACCTGAAAAAATATACAGTACATTGAGATATTTGCAAGTTTTAAGAGGTTCAGTCGTCTTCAGACTAGTTTCTAAAATGTATGAATGCCTCTCTGTGCTTTGCTTTATCAAAGCAAACAGTGTTATAAGGCAACTATTGCTGCTGCAGTTCAGTTTTTTACTCAGTGTGCAAAATAGGCACACACATAGAAAAGACGACCAGACAATGAGTAAATTACAAAATGAAAGGAGAAGATAGCCCTCGAGTAATTCATAAATCTTACCTCCAACAAAGTTGATTGATAAATTGTTTATTAGAAATTCAGTGCATATTTTTTGCAAGGTAGGAATCTGTAGACCTTTTGATAGATAATAAACGGCTGGCATAAGTTCTTCAGGTACAGTTAACCTAACAAAATTGGAAAAGTTCTTTCTTTAAAAAAAAGATTCTACAAAATGGTAGTAAGGTCAAAAACAACTCACTGAATAAACCATACAAATATTAATTAAGCTATCAGAAGCATTCTTAGATTCATCAATCCTAACATCATATTGGCACTAAACTTTTTAGTTTACAGTCAAACATACTGATAACAAGGTTAAAATCCCGAAATTTCTCAAACTTACGCCAACTACTGTCTGTAAGTATGCAATATTATAATGGGATTGTTGAAATATGAGATTATTAACAACACATCTAAGATTTTCAAGTAAAACCAAAATGGTTAACTTCTCCTATGACAGTGCATTTTATTTAAATAGGTGGTTCGATAGACATGGATTGTTAACAGCGGTATTTTCCTAATGTGAGCTGTGGACGGTCTGATGCTAAATGGGTAGGTCCAGTCAACTCTGCAGCTTTCGTAGGACGGAAATGAATAATTTTTGTAAGGCAACCTGTCTTATACAGCATTACCATCACAAAACTATGTAGTGTAGACTTATCCCACACGGTTATATGATTTCCCATACTTCACGATACAGTAATACCACTGAATATGCAGCATGTCTCCATTTTATTCAACAAAATGAAATTTGCAAACTAACGCCAGCGGAAAAAGGTAAAATAATACCCAAGAATGGAAGTAAGAAACGTTGGTTAGCCTAATTAGTCATGTCTGTCTGTTTTCGACATAGAACTTTGCACAAATGTGCGGAAGTTCAAGTCGCCACATTCCGTGTAGCACGCGAAGCAAGAGAAGAAAGTACAAGAAAAGCATACTAGAAACAGTGAGCAGAGGTGTGAGACAAAGGAGTAATAAAGAAATACAAAACAGTTTCATGTACAAGAACCAAGTTAAAGCTACTACCAATTCTTCACGAAGCAGTAAACATACACTTGCATTGGTGAGTAATTTTTAGACACCTAGTATATTTGACAAACTTGAATTATGGCGTAATTTATTTGTCAATTGTCAGTCTGTCGGTTTTACCTACGCTGTTCTTGACTTGACATATCAAGAACTTTCTTGTACTTTGTAATGGTCAGTAAACTAACAAAAGTGACATCCGGAGACAGAAGGCCATATGGTTCAGGCTGGTAAAAGAGCACATCTCCGTCTGAACCATAACTGACTATTTAGTTACTTAGTGTATCTTTTTAAGGTGTCTTTTGTAAGGCTTTGGATGGGATCTGATTATTCATTTTTACGCTAGATATACAGCAGCAAGATTGGACTATTACACAGTAACGCCAACCATCTACAGTTTAACCATGACAACTATTGTGGCAGACCTCACACAAAACTTTTAAAGCTAATGCTGACAGTGGATACATACAAAACCCTATACAACACTTTTGCTGTAAAATTAACTTACTTCAGGGTTGACATGTAATTCAGTACTACTTCAAAAGCATCAACAGGTGCATCAATAAATATTTTAAGGGAATTGGAAGATTCAGAACGAGTCACTTTAAGTAAACAATCATTGTTATGAGTGTAGTCAGCCTCTCCATTCTCTAATTGAAAGCACTTTTTTAATTTTTCACTGAATAAAGATAGTGTTTTTTGGTGTCCATGATACACGTTTCGACCAACAACAAAAATAACATCTGATGTCCCCGTAGAGTTAGAAATACGTTCAAGCGAGCTCGATAAGTCTTTACAGAAATATTCGAATATTTTGGCTTTTGCTTTCTTAGAAGAAGCCCTTTGAGTATTTACCAGTGCACACATGTTTAGTATCCCAATCAAGTAGCAAGCAAAAGCACGTTCCAATTGAACTTTTCTCTTGTAAGAATATCGTTTTAAAAATTGAGGAAGATGCTTTGTAGATGTTTAATTAAGTTCTTTCTTCAATCCACTGGATGCCTGGAAAAACAAAACACTTCATAATTTAGGGCTAAATGAAGTTAAAATCTAGAATACATTTATGTATAATTATTTATAAAATGTGAAAGCCTTTAGAATATAGCGTGAAACCCTGTTACAGGTTATGAAAAGAATACTCCTGCTTTCAGAATACTGCTGAGAGACAGAGAACGGTAATTTTTATTTCAGCTTATTATTATATTATCTCGCTTTTAGGACTGCTAGCTACAGTGTTCTTTAATAAGCGCCACTATCGCTTATACGCTCTCATCCCCTCATAATGCAATCCCTCCATGCCGACCTCGAAATCTCAACTCACCGTCTCCCAATTTGCAGTCCACTCTAGCAATAGCCTAGAGCGAGAAGTCACTCAATGATCTCCTCAGTGTGTTTTCGATCCATTCCCAATTTCTGTTGAGCAATAGGTTCTTAAGTGTTTCGTTCGCAGAGTTTGCTGCCACTAATTCTTTCTGGTCATCTAATCCCTAGTATCACGCCAGAGAACGCAGTTGTTGATGAATGTTAGCAGCCTGTTTAGAAAGCTTTTCGTGAAGAACCGAATTTTATTCCAACTTATTCACAAATAATCTTGCTGTGAAGCAATTAAATAATAAATGAATTCAATTAACCTTTCCGAAAATTCCACAATACATAGAATAAATGGGTTGTCTATAAGGTTTAAGCAGAGTTTATTACCTTATGCATCAAGATAAAAATAAATTTTTGTGATAGAAACATCTTTGAAGTATTTATAAAGCTCTAACCTAAAAGTTTTTATACCCTTTAGACGCTTCGAAAAACGTGAATATATATATACATATATATACTCTTATATATATATATATATATATATATATATATATATATATATATATATATATATATATATATATATATATATATATATATATATATATATATATAAGGCATTCTAGTTGTATTAAGCCTACCTTTAGATAAACCATCCTAGCAACTCAAACTAGTAATTTCACGAAAGAGTTGAAGGAGAACTTTCAAATCTCGTGTATATAATTCCATATCTTAACATTTTACTAAATACTTGAGAAGTAATAACCAGAAATTACTGACCTTATAGGCATTAAAACCGTACAGTTGTGCTTCATTGATACGAAATATATCACACGTGAATTATTACAAAATAACAAGGTGTATACATATATAGGTCCGGTTTTAGTTGAGCGTCAATTCCAGCAAGACTGATGAATTGCCTATCCGTTTATTACTTAAGAATCAACGACATGACCTTAATACATGTTTAAACTATTTAAGAATACTTCACCATACCCTGAGATTACAGAAATTTCGGACACCTTAATTGCCTCAGTGAATTTCAAAAATCAGTGTGTGAAATTGAGTGGAGTTCACAAATGCCATTTGATGTTTATATGTGGTCATAATATACATTGAACAGCTAATACTCTAAAAAAACTGTGAAGGGCCTCCCAAATGAGTAAATAAAACCCCTATCACTCAGTGATGCTACATAGACAGGTCAGATGTCCATAGCTATCTTTATAATTTAAGTCTTAAGCCATCATTAAAGAATACGGAAGTCAAAGATATGTAATCGAGCACCTATAAAAGTTGATGACAACTGAGATGTGACTGACAATTTAAGAGTCTTAAATATAGCAGCAGCAACCTACCTAGGAGGATATTCTATTCATGGAAATCGTAAAATCGCACTGCATATGCGAAATGATAGTATTTTTTGTCCAAAGTGAGTGATATCCACGGGTGATTTCAAGACTAAACGTCCCTTAACAAAATTTCTGTCGATTGCGTTAAACAACAAAAATCCGATATTCTGGATAACGTAGATTGATTAATACATTCTCAGTCCAAAATGATCATTTACTACAAAATTCTATCAATATGTGGTGATAAAACGGAATTATTTCATTTCTGTCTATCCACTATGTATCAAAAACTTGAATAATGAACGATTGAATGCCATTTTTATCGGGTTTTCACAAGAAAATAATATCGACGTAACGGTGGGTTATTCCACAGAGGCTATTCCAAAAACGTCTATCATTACACCTTTCAGACTTTTGGAATTTTTGAATTGCCAATCGGCTTCTGGTATGAAGCACGTTCCATTAACGGAGTATTTCGCGGTCTCGACTTTGTATACCCGTTTTTTAGACGACTACATCATTCACAGTCCAGACAAAGAAACTCACCTTAGACACTAGGACTTCGCATTCGGAATGTAACACCTACATGGTGTTACCATTATATTCAAAAGTGATAGGCATTGACTCACTCGACATTCTGGGCCCCGCCATTGACTGCAAACGTATTTGCCCACTGGCTAATAAAGCTAAGGTGATACTGAAATTTTCGGAGCCACAGACAGTGAAAGCATTTTCCCACTTTTAACGGCTTGGTAAGTTATTACAGACGATTTTTTCCTGACTTTTCTTTCCTGATTAAGGCATTAATGGACCTTATTTTAAGAGAATAACAAGTCCGTCGAACTTGACGCGTCTGCTCAGAATGCTTTCACTCAGGTTAAAAAAGCTATTGCGGATGCCATACTTCTAATGTATCAGAATCCAACGGGACCGTTAAGTAACTCGGTTGATGCATCAGACACTACAATCGGTGCAGTTCTGCAACAACCAGTCAACAGAGAGTGGCAACCACTCGCCTTTTTCTCGAGGCACCTACAATTAGCAGAAACAAACTACAGCATGTTCATCAAAAAGCTTCTGGCAATGTACTGAGCTATACGTCATTTCTGATATTTAGTAGAGAGTAGTGGATTTATAATTTTTACTGACCACAAACCTCCGAGGTACTCTCTGAACTCAACTTCAGACAGGTATTCACCTAGAGAATCACGACAGCTGGGCTATGTCTCACAGTTTACACCGGATATTCGCCATGTACTCGGAGTGAACAACACTGTGACAGATGCCTTGTCGCGCATTTGGTCCCTCAACAAAATAGACGGCATAGACTTTGTAAAACTGGCTCGTCTTTAAAAAGGATATACCGAGCTTAAACATGGGTTGTCGAAAACAACTCTGAAATTAGCCGAGAAACCCTTAGTTATGGAAAGAGACACTATTCTATGTGATATTTCCACGAGTATCCCTCACCTTATTATACCCTGAAGTTATCGCCGTAACATTTTCAATACGTTGCATTGCCTATCCTATCAAGGTATTCAACCTACCGTGAAGCTCGTAACTAGCCAGTTTTGTTAGCCTAGCATTAATAAAGAAGTAAGGGAATAGGCACGCATGTGCTTAGCTTACCAAAATGCAAGGTAGTAGGACACACCAAAAGCCCCCTTGGCACCTTTCTTATCCCTGATGCTCGTTTCGAACACGTTCATGTAGATTCTTTTGGACTTTCTACAGAATCTCATGGATATAACTATATTTAAGCCTGCATCGACCGTTTCACACGATGGCCTGAAGCAATACCACTCAAGGATGTATCTACTGAAACGGTCACACGCGTCTTTGTAGAAAGATGGGTCGCAAACTTTGGATGCCCATCTTCCATAACATCTGATCGCGGGCGGCAATTCGAAAGCGGCTTATTCTTCGCCCTGACTAAAATAACAGGTTGCATGCGTTTACGAACAACAGCCTGCCATCCTCAAGCTAATGGTATGGTAAAACGTCTACATAGACAGATGAAACCTGGTTTATCAGCTTTAAACAATAACCGTTGGACAGAATCACTTCCGTTAGTTCTCCTAGGGATACGAAACGCCATGAAAACCGATGCTGGCTGTACTACCGCCAAGCTAGAATATGGCACACTGCTACGACTGCCAGGTTAATTTTTGTTTCTCTCTTCAACCTCCCACCAGCGGTTGATCGAACCTCATTCGTCAGCAGGTTTACAAACGAAATGCGTTCAGTTAAACCTGGTCCCTTTCGATCACATTCCATAGACATTTGTGTTCACCCGTGTTTGAAAACGTCTTCACATGTATTTGTTCGTTGTGACTCTGTACGTTGTCTTTTAGGACCACCACATGACGGACTTTGACAAAATGGACGCAAAGACTCTATTAGCATCGACCGTCTGAAACCGGCGTACTTAGAGGGCAAATTCATGAGCCCAGAGCTAAGCATTCTCAATGATACACAAGTAACAGAATAGCAATTAGCCCTCGAAGAAATCACTACTTCAGGGAAAGCCGCCGAACTTTTTATCGAGTTTTCAAAGAAAACACGTTCTAAGCGAAAAGTGAGATTCCCAGGACATCTTCACACCTATGCCACATAACTAAATGATACGATTCATCCATTATTATTCGGCTGTGGTATATTTTTTTCTCTCAAACATCAATTTTCTATATTGTACCCCGCGACACGTGTGAAAAATTTTTTAGTACCGTATATGTCACGTCCATTTTAACGTTTGTCAGTGTTATATTTTTCCCATCGTTTTCCTGTATGGTAAATGCATATCGTTGTTTAAACGTTATTTTTTGGTACACATTCCTCAATAAGGTTCTTGGAATTTGTCAATGGAGGTGAACATTGAACGTACATTTTTGGAACTGGTAGCCATTGGTGGACAATTCGAAGGCACGAATGGTTCGATCGTCTACAAGTTCGACGAAGAAAATCAAAAACGAATAAAAGTGCACAATAAATTTGTATAAAACATTTGTTTGATCTGAACTCAAGTTCAGTCTCAGAAGTAATAGTGAGACTCCTACCTACTCGACTGCAAAGGAAGTAGGTGAGGGTAAGTTCTCGTATAGAGGATGAGGGTATTAAGCCAAAGTTTGATGATATTCTGAAACTGGTAAAAGATAGTGTCAATCAAGCTATGAGCGAGTTTGCCAGTATATTGCATCCCACGTC